CAATCTCCCAAAGTCTACCGGTCGCATTATCTTCCACTCATCGAATTTGGACAAAACTTAATGAATAAATTTTAGAAATTTGTTGGATTTTTAAAAGGAAAGTGCAATTTTTGTTATATCCTAAGTTTCCTTTTTATCAAAACTTGCGGGAGAAGACCTAACACGAATTTAACCTATTTTGCAACCTAGGTTAGAACTCTCTAACACTTTTAAATACTCTCTTTCTCTGATTAAATTTACATGGCTTTTATAAATCAATTCATAACAATTTTGAGAGAGTTGAGTGATATTAGGTTGTTCTCTTTCTGGTCAAACTTTGAGCACTCGTACAAATTTCGTTTAGAAAAGCATAATGTTTTGTTAACCTTCTCAAATTTAGATTTGAAGAACGGAGAATTCGATCATGCTATGAAGGAGACAGGGTATTCATAAAGTGTTATGTTTTACCAACAACCTAAAGGATTGAGGAGTAAGCCTGATCAGTAATTAGCTGCGGAGTGAGTGTGAGACTCAGTTCGAGTATGTTGGTGAGTGTGAGACTCAGTCAGAATCTGTTGTAACTTGTTTGGAGATAGTGGATTGTTTTGTTCAAACAGTCTTCGTATTTTTATCATGATTAATCTGACCCACGCAAAAATTCGGTTGTCTCTCTAAATTTTAATTTATTTACTTTCTTTATATCTCTGTAAGAAAATTAAAATTTGAATAAAAATGCAAGTTTCACCCATCCCATTTTTATTTATTTTTTTTCATAATTATGGTTGTATAAAAGAAAAAATATATATATATGTACAAAAGTCACAGAGGGCATACCCTCAGAATGTAAAGGCACCAATGAAAGTGGGATACAAACATCCAAACTCACCAAACAGAAAGAAAACAAAAAGGAAAAATGGAAAAATCTATCTCCAAATCAAAACAAGAGAAATAACACCCTAGACCAAAACTGGCAAAAGTAAAAGTGATAAAGGAATAAAAAACACAAGAAACCCAGCTCCTTGTCACAGCCTTCAACTCAGCAAACTGATATATATTCAGACAATTCACCAAATCAAGCAGGAAGATCAGAGAGAAGGATACTATGAATATCCAACACCTCTAATAACAAATTCTTTGCCACAATCTCTGGAGTAGTACGTAGCAGTACCATACAATCTAGCATTTCTCTCATTCCAAATTCCCCAAAGCACAGCAGCAAACAAGGTTTTATGAAATCCCACAGTTGCAACAACCTGGAACCAGTTAAATAGATCAGCTAAAGACACGACTTCAGCAAACACGCATATTCCACTTCAGAATCTCTCCCAGCCAACTCCAAAAATCTTTAGAAAATCTACAAGCAATAAATATATGGTCTGTTGTATCAATAGCACTCTGACACAATTAGCATCTAGACACCAAACAGAGCTTCCTTCTTTGGAGATTCACCATAGAAGGAATTCTGTTTAACATCACAAAAACTGCAGTTACAGACCATCTTGGGCTTGCTTTGCCCCAACAGAACTTGTACCAGCTGACTTCCTCTGCCTGAAATCTACAAATTTTCCAAGCTTCCTTATATGAGAACTTACCATTATTCCACAGAAGCTTGTCAGATGAACTATGAATAGGTCTCAACACCAAATATCCCCTCAGTTGCTGTAATTCTTGTCCCTGTAGGAGATTCAAATCCCAGCTACCATTCACCATTAGAATATCCAAATTAGCAGTTCTAGGAACATTTAAAGATCTAAAAATCCTATGTCCACATTTATTTGCCACTGTCAAACCATCACACCAAGGATCTTGAAAAGGCACTGATCTTCCACCCCCTGTATGAAAACCAACATGTTGTAACATACTATCTCTTGTCTCCACAACAGATTTCCAAATGACAGAGTGAGTAATCTTAGTAATAGCAGTCCAAAAAGAGGAGTGAGGAGTATACTTATTTTTAAACCATGAAACCCAGAGCCTATCCTTACTTGTCTAAAAAATCCCAAGCTAGAACAAATTTAGATGCAGATTGGATATCCACCAGCTTCCTCAAACCAAGACCACTTTCAGCTTTAGTTTTAGTGATCATATCCTAACTCAGGAGATGAATTTTCTTAGAATTATCAATGCTACCCCATAGGAAATCTCTACATATCTTTTGCAACTGATTAATCACATAAATAGGGACATTATAAATGCCACACCAGTATAGAAAAATAGGGGTGACGGTGGATCTAATGAGTTCAACTCTACCAGCAACTGATAACAGTTTAGTGGTCCAACACTTAATTCTATTAGAAACCCTATCAATCAATCCCTGGCAATTTGCTTTCTTCAAACCATAAGGACACAAAGGAAGCCCCAAATACTTAATTGGAAAATGTTCTTCAGAACATTTCAGAATTCTTAACATTGCCCCACAGCCTTTGAAAAGATGACACTACTCTTATGTTCACTGACTTGTAAACCTGTTAAATTCTCGAATTTCTTGAACAAACCTGCTAGAACAATCAACAAATCATCAGCAAAAAACACATGACTTAACACAGGATGAACTTAGCTACAGCATGAGTGACACAGAACACCTTTTTGTGGACAGCAGAATTGATAATGGAGGTAAGGCGTTCTGTAATTAAGGTAAAAAGCAGAGGGGACAATGGACAACCTTGTCGAAGACCCCTCCCTAGTTGCACCTAACAAAAGCAAAGTCACGAGAAATTATGAATTCCAAATTTAATATGCCGGAATCACAGGGATAAAACAGAATTAATTTGAAAAGCAAGCTATATATAGAGATAACTGGAAAAAGAAAGAAAGGTTTTCAGTTACCAGAATCTAGATTTCCTATAATGATGTCTTCTCCATACTTGGCCTTCTTCCACAAGGAATTCGAGTCAACGAAACCATTGTCATTTTCTAATGAAAGAAAATTCCAAGACTGTGTTGTGTGTAATTCTATCCTTTCATTTAAGAAAAGGGACACAACATTTGGATCCTCTGCGTCGAAATATGTGAACAAAGTGAAGATAAAAGAGAATACAATTAGTATATATAGAAATGAGAATTATTTATCAACTCACGAATCTTAATTTGAGATTGTATTTTGAATTTGGAGTAGTGCTACACATTTCGAATCTTAATTTGAGATTGTGTCTTGAATTTTATATGAATATCTCTTATTTTAATACATATTATACTTTATTCATTTATACATTTGTGTTTCCCATTTTAAAAAACAATTAAAGGAAAAAATAAGAATGAACAATAATTACACTGATTTCTTTCTCTATTTATAATTTGCTTGTATCAACTAATATTTATTACTATTATTATTATTATTATTCACCCTCTCGACTTTTGTATATCTTTATTTATCCGAACTTATGTAGAAGTATATTTTTTTTGAGTATTTTTAAAATTTAACCATGATCAGAAAATATCAAATCAAAATATAATTTTAAAAAAACTTAAAGTGAACAATGTAAATTAGGTCCTTATTTACGAGAAATAGATTACTCATTCATAGTAAAAAAAATTGTAACATTTAGTTTAATTATTCAAAGATTTAATAAAAAATGGTCTCCCAAATTAATTGAATTAAAATTATTGAGTTATTTTAGAGTTTGGATTCTATAATGATAAATTTTTCTATTTTTTCTCTATTTCCTATATTAAAAACATATCCGCAGCACAAGAAATAAAATACTGGCACAAAAAACAAGGAGAAAATCTTTCTATTCGCACCTCGATCTCCATCTCCACTCCTGGGTCTTAAGTGGCCTTACATCTTAAAATAAACAAAACAATCAAATACGCAGCTACATAATTCGATATAAAATCATAAATATAAATTCGTGAAGTATAGTATTTTTTTTAATCAAGTTTGTTTATTAATACAAGTTTATTTATTAATAACCCACGTTTGTTCTTTGATGTGATATAATATAGATATGTACTTTAATTATTCATTTTATATTTTAAAAATATAAAAAATGTTAATAAATTAACCACAAAAAGAAAACTTCAAATTTTTATTATAATATAAGATTATTTTTTTTTAAAAAAAAACATACAGTATATAATGTGGCACACATCTCGATACTTTAAAAAAATACAAGTAATATTTACTCCAATTAAGTCACATACTTTACATTAAATGTAAAGGATGCCACAGTGTAATGCGCTTGTACTCCAGCTAGCATTGCCTAACTCATACTCTCGGGTGTATAGAAATATTCATACTCGCATCCACTGATATTTTCACCACTTTCTTTAGTGTAAATTAAAAAATTAGTGTAAATTAAAAAACTCAAAGAATAAATTATGTTGGTGTGTTAATTATCTTGTCAAATAATGAAATCAACCGATATATATATATATTCATACATTTTTTTCTTTCTTTTCTTATTTATTCACTTTTAGATTAAAAAAAATAAAAAAGTAATTTCCATATATTCTATAGTAAGAATTTTTAAACCTATAAAAAGTGAAATTTTATGAGTGATACAAAATTCTACATCAAACTGACATAGACAATGACACTTATATTATTTGAAACGTTTTTTCAGTTATATTATGAATTTTTAAATAAACCTTATTAAAAATTAGAAAGCATAATATAGTAAGATGTATGATTTGATCAAATTCTAATTTTATAAATTAGGAATAAAAAATTATCTTTCCATCTTTCTTCCATTTATTTTCTTTTCTTTATTGTTTACATTTTTCCATTCCTCATATGTTTTTTTTACCTCCCGTTTCTTACCCTCCAAACAAAACTAGCATTAGAGAGATAGGGGGCAGATCTAGCTGGGCGAGTAATGGTATAGTGGTGGCATGGTTGGTGTCCTTCAAGCGTATGGAATATGTGATTATATGTGTGTGTCGGACGCTTTCGACAAAGGAGGCTCTTTTTTAACTGCCCACTGCAAGTGACAACTGGAGGTACAGTGAATAGCTGTAGCCGTCAACGTGTCGAACAACCATTGGTAAGGATCTGTTCCCCCTCACCAGAACAAAAATACGGAGTATATTTCTAGGGCAAATCATTTCAGCCTCCCCAATCGCCTCCATCTCTATTCTCTTTCTCAACTCTGAACTTGCCCCCCCTCTCTCTGCAACTGCAAACTACAAAATCTACACGAATCAGTAGTTCAAAACCCATACATTTCAGTTATCTATCTGTCTGCAAGAATCAAAACCTATTACCTATATCAAAACCCATATCGGCATATCATTTCAGATTGTTCAAAAAATCAAAGCCCATATCTTTCAGTTCCCATCGCCCGCTGTTCCAGTTCGGGTTTGCCGTTCGCAAGCTTCAGCCGCTGGCCCGCTGTCACTCCTTGCCCCCCTCTCTCTCTGCAACTGCTAACTTGTATGTATGGCTTTTGTTTTTAATTTTTTTCTTAATCAACTAATCAAGATCTGTGATTCTTGTTTTGCAAACTAAATCCTATGTGGTGAAATTTTTTATGATCTCTTTTAAATAATTTTTTTTTTTTTACAATATAAAGTAACAAAATTTGCATTGCATTTTGAGGCAATCACCGTAAACTACATTTTATTTCAGGAAAACAAATATATATATATATATATATATTTTTATTTCTATAACTTCTATTTCTGTGTTTTTTTTTTTTTTTTTGTCAATTATGTCTACAAGAAAATTTGAATCTGGGCATGAAAAAAGGAAAAAAAAAATCTGAATTGCATTAGAAATCTGCAGAGATTGAATCTGAAACAATTTTTATCAACATGCCAAGCTTTTTGAATATGGAAATCTTTTCAGAACAAAAAAAAAAAAAAAAAAATCATAAGAACTTTGACAAGCAAAAGTACTTAATATAGGGTAAAGCTCTAAAGTTACTTCTTGAAAATTAGAATACTTGCAAAAAGCATGATTTTGAGTGAATTCCGTAGTGTTGGAAGGGGCTAGCCATGATCTACCTCACGCTCTGCTTCCACTTGTAGATTCTCAAATAGGATTAGTAAATTGGTCAAAAGAAGAGATAGGGTACTGAGTGGTGAATTGTTCAGAAATAAATTGGTAATTTTTTTTATTAATTACCCAAATAGGAGTTTCTATGCCTTAATCAGTCAATTGTCTAAAGAAACATTGTTAGTTAACTAAAATTGAATTAAACAACAGTTGATTTTGGTTGATATATTTTGATTTAGCCCACAACATTGAGAAATCTTGGATGTTTTGTTTCACATAGAAATACGGATATATTCAATCTTTCTGCCATATTTTTATTTTCAAATTTTGGTTTTTGATTTTATTTTGTTATTAGAATGCAGAATATCATGATATTGATTTGTTAATTTTGAAGATTATTCCCAAACTGATGCATTGTATTTTGTTATTGGATTAATTTAACATAAGAGCTGAGCATAATATGTGTTAATCACACTATCCATAATCACACCTCTTTCTACGGATAGGTGTCCAATATTTTGACTGAAAGCATAATTGGGTTGTGTTGATACATGATACAGATAGTACTTAGATGGTGATATTTAATTGTTATGAGTGAGATTGTGAAACCTCTTCCTCACAACTTGAGTGTTTTCTTATTTTTAAGGTTAGCATCGGGCCTTGACATTTAGCAAGAACAAGGTTCAACAAACATGCCTCCTCAGTCATCAAGTAACAAACTCTTACCTTTTCTAAAATTTTAATTGGCATTTTTAACTATTGGTTACGTTTATTTATTCATGTTTTTCATACTGATTTTTTTTTTTTTTTGTTTCTACATACATATATATAATATTGTTATGATGTGATGCTCGAACAATTTATTAATGGAAATTAAAGACTTGAAAGTTTAGTTTTCAATTCCAGAATATATGTTTTACAAGTTTGTTAAAACTTTTAAAACTTTTCCTCTTTTTTTCTAATAATATAGGTTTTTTTTCTGCAAGAAGAGAGTTGATGGGAATGGGTGGAGTGGGCAAAAAGAAAATAGGTATGTTTTTTTTGTCTAGCTAATTGAATTATATAAATCCCTTTATCGTTGTAGCAGTGATGTTGGTTTTAAAATGACCAATTATGATATGAAGTATCTTTTCAATTTATCTTAATCAAATGTATATCTATGCAAGAGGATTATGTGATTCTAAATGAAGATTCTAGATGAGGATGTTAATGTTAACGTTATGAGGATGTTGATGTCAATGTTAACTCTAGTGATGACAACTAATGATGTTAATAATATGTTGATGCACTCAAATTAAGTCAAAACACTTAGAATTGAAGGAAATTTAGAGTTGAAGACATACTATTAAGCATAGTGTCTAATTCTTTTAGTTATAAGAATCTTTGGTCACTTCACACACGATTTTTCAATTATTAAAATTTTGAAACAATGGTGTGTAATATGATTCATCTACTTGGGCTCTCTTCTTTTTCATCTCTCTAAACTCTAATTTTATCTGTGGAAAAAGAAAAAGAAGACTATGAAATTTTAATTTAACTTTTTATCAGTTTGAGCATTGACATAGCTTTTGAAATGTAGAAACCGAAACAGCAAAGAAGAGAGAGTCCACCAATAAGAATTACCAAACTTAATAAGTTCTCTGAGCGTCTTAACTAATATTAATATTAGCATGGGAGACTTCTATAGATATGGACTTGTAGAGAGAAAGATATATGGTTGGCGGCACAAAGTGTACGACAACTGTAACCCAATGATAGGGTTGTGAGCTTTTGGCTTGTTTCATGCATCAGATCTAAGAAGTGTACAACAATGAAATGGAAAGCTCTGATGCACTCAAACTTACAAACAGAGACAATTAATATTATATATTTATAATTTACTTTACTAATTTAATATGATACTACGTATATCATACATATATACACATATATATATGTTTGTAACTTTATACTTAGACTTGGATATATTTTGATTTAGCCCACCCCATTGAGAAAATCCTGGATCCGCCCTTGGGCGGTGGCCATGGTAGGAGGAAGCAGCGTGGAGCGATTGGATGTTCTAATTTTTGAGTTTTTTTTTTTTTTTTTGATAAATAATGTTACAGTAGAGAAAGTACTTCTTGTAAACAGTGTAGAAAGTAGAAAAAGTAACAAATCCTCACTTTCTCTTTCCTTCATTAAACCTGAAAGTACTTTCTAAAAGGTAAAAAGTAAATTAGTAAACATAATTTTCACTTTTATTTCACAATTTTAGGAATTGACAGTAAAAATCAGAAAGTAAAAGCGTTAGTAAACAGACAGCAATTGTTTTTTTTTTTTTTAAACTTGACCCTTCTTGTATTCATAAAATCAGAGCAGGCCTAATTCTGTCATTTCAGTTTGGTTGACACACACAAGACACAACACACAAAGCCTAAGCCCCAGTTACCTCTCTCTCTCACCCCCCCTCGTCTTTTTCAATTCCCACGGATCAAACCAAACCCTAACCTCGGTCGTGGTCGACTCTACCGTCGGTAATTTTTCTCATATCCTTCGTCATTTTCCTTTTTTTGTTTCTATTTTAAGAATGATGGAAGGATTTTGTATTTGAATGATTTACTCGTAGTTGTTCATACCGCCTTTCGCTTATTTGTCTCATTGCATATTGATCGACACACAGGCCCTAATTACCTCTCTCTCGGCCCCTCTTTCAATTCGCATTTGAATACTTCCATGTGTGTGATATGCTTATTTTCAATATTTTTGTCTAGAAAATATTTTGGTATTAGGGATGTTCGACAGGAGCCGTTCAATCCCTCGTGTAAATCTCACTGCATATTCCACCACGGACGTAGTTGAGTTTCAGTGTCCACCTTCTACCCAAGTTACTGTTGAAATCTCAGATGTTGTAGACGAGCAGCTGTATGATTTGATCGCCGCTGAAGCGTTTGCAAGAAAATTCGTGATACTCAACGGGAAACATGCAACATCTCGTTGTTTGGAGAAAGCTCAGGAGAAAGTTCCGCAGAAAGCGAAAGTTTCATTAGGTATATATTCTTTTAATTATATTAAAGTGTAATGAACATAGTTCTAGGGTCCTTTCTGAGTTTTTTTTAGTTAGAACTCATGTCTGCTATGCTTTAGAATTTGTAGCTGTCTCTTGTTTTTTTCCTTTCAGTTTCATTTTCTTTGCTGTAGACTTATATAATGTCTTTGCTCATAATGAAGTCATTATCAGTTACAAAAAAGAAATAACAAGAGAAAAAAGAGGAAGAATACACCGCTAAAAAAGTTAGGAATATAGAAGATTTAGTAAATTGATTGAATATATACTTTTTTTTTCCTTTTGTTTGTCAAAATTTAGGTGGGTATCTAATTGACAGAACAAAGCTAATCAATTAAAAAGATGGGGCATCTTACCGGTTCTATGAGCAATTATATATATTTTATATTATAGTTTATACCATGCTAAGTTTACATCAATTAGAGACTATAGTGGAAGTTGTACTTCTATCAACTAAATGATGAAAAGTAGTAGGGTCAGTAAAAAAATGTGGTTCAGCCTTCTACATTCGGAAAACAACCCGAGGAATTTTCTTTTATTCATTTTTTTTTTTTTTTGGTGGATTGGGGGATTTAGGTCATGACGATCCATCTTATTAGATTTTAGAACCCAAGATTAATCACTCATTTGAGACAGAGTCTTAGAGTCAAATCTGAGAAGTCTTCTTCATAAGCTATTCCCTTCACCAACTCGGACATCTGTGAAGCCTATCTGCAGGGTTTTCTTGGGTTTGCTTTATTAGTGAAGTTGAACCGTACTCTTCAAAGCTTGTTGCCCCAATATGTAGTAACTGGCCTGTAGAGCTTCGTGAACATAAAGAAAAACTGAAAACCCGTAGAAAACAAAGATTTAGACAGACAAGTATGGGCCTAGTTTGACAAAGCTACAATAAGGGTGTTCTTATGTTATTTTCTCGATCTAATGTTTAAAGATGCAAGGGAAAACCATTCTTAAGAAGGAGGGCTTATTGACTCTAGCGAGTAGGACACTCTGCTCTCGTAAGGGCAAAAGCAAAATGTTTGACAGGGGATAGGCGCTTTATCTTGACCTTAGGCCGGGGAGTTGTAGAGAAAATATTGGTTAGATCTCTTTCGCATTCCAAAGACTTGGTCCCTTGAGTGATTTCCATTCTTCCCTTCTTTATTGCTATATGAAAGGGAAGGGTAAACCAAGTAAGTTGCATCGCTCAATTTCTTTGCTTAGAGAGTAGAAGCTTCAGTTTCAGTTTGATTGATCCCTTGGGCACCCCTATTTCCAGCTGGTTGGGTTGAGTCTGATTCATAACATAATCGAAATAATGAAAGAAATCGAAGTCAGTTAATGCTTAAAGTATCTTTTGACTGTTGTCAACTAATCTCTGTCACTTCGATTCCACTCTGTGTTAGAACATCTCTGTGAAGTGCTATTCCGATATAAGTGGTCTTATTTTGTGTCCTGTGCTAGGAAGCATGACTCCTCTTTTCATTCCAAATTCAAGAATACGACCGATACGATTGCTAGCTTGGAAAGGGGCGTCATCATAAGGGAGTAAGAGTTTGTTTTGTAGAGCAATATGGAGGACTTATATTTGATGATTCACCCACAGTTTTCACATTCAGTTTTAGCCCATCGTAATCCCCCCTCTGTCCCCATTATATCTTGAAACATCACCTCCCAAGTGTTTTCTGACCCTTAGAACAACACTGTCATCACAATGGGGCACAACAACTTCATCCAAATTATTTCGATTGTGTTATGATTCAGACTCAACCCAACCAGCTGGAAATAGGGGTGCCCAAGGGATCAATCAAACTGAAACTGAAGCTTCTACTCTCTAAGCAAAGAAATCGAGCGATGCAACTTGGTTTACCCTTCCCTTTCATATAGCAATAAAGAAGGGAAGCATTTCTCTTCATTTTGAATCGGGGTTCTCAGATCTCGAACTCTTGTAAGAAAATGACTCCCAATTGAAATGGTTCTGAAACTGCGCTTTGATCGATCATTTGATCTATGTAAGGTAAGGAAATACTCACAGAGAGGAGCGGGGATGAATTCAAAACAAACAGCTACAAGGTAAGCTCTCAACTGGACTCCTAACAATGTCATCACGGGTATAAGCTCTTCAAAGCAACCAAGGAACCTCTGAACTTGCTAGACCACCACCTTCTTAAAACGCCTCACATCCAATAAGAAAAGCTCTTGAACTTGCTTTTCGGACATCCGAAGCTACAGCTGAAGTCACTTCTATTTTCTGATCTTGTTACGCGAGGCTCTAAGCGGTCAATCTCCTAGAATAAGGTGACCCCCTCTCCCTTTGGCTCCATCTGAGCCCTGGATTTGGTTATTCATTCTAAACCCAACCCAGCTACCATGGTAAAACACGGCATAGCAACAGCAGCTAGGTACTCCTTCAGTTAAGAGCAGAGCTCAACATTACCTCCCACCCAAAGCTGGGGGACCAACCATGCAAGTTTGACCCTACAAGTATACACTGATAACTACGCGCATACAAAAAGTAGGAGTTACGTGGTCGGTTTGTTTCATTTCCAAAGAAATGCCTCTCTATGACCGACACTCGTTTTAGGCGGCGTCTTAAACTCCGGACCACGCTCTGAATGTTGGCCTCAAGTTCCTCGGTTAGGCAACCACTAATCCTTCTTCTCTTCCTTCTCGCCTTTCTTCCATCAAAGTGTTTTTTGCCTTCGGCTATTGTCCCTTACATTTTGAACGGTTGGAGCTCTAATATCGTTACGACACCAAACGAGAGCATGATAGTGCCACCCCACGCAGTTTGTGTGCAGTGATTCCGATCTCATTAGCGGATTCAGCGGATTTGCCGAGCAATTCAAAAGCTTTACAAAGGAGCTTCTTCCCAAAAAAGAAAGTTCCACTAGAGCATGTGTTATTAATCACACTAGCGTGACTTATGAGGCAGGAAGGATCTTTAGATAAAAAGTCTTTCTGCTGGCAACTTGGTTACTTGGCGAAGGTCAATAAAAACATTATAATTTTTAGAGAATCAATTTTTTATTTTATTTTTCATATATATATAAACATGTGATAAACTTTTGTATAATTTGTAAATGTGCCAATTTATGTTTCACTTTTATTTTGATGCATGGTATGGGGCTTTGCTGCAGCTTGTGTGGTCATTTCCGGTGTCCTCATAAAAAAAGTTTCTACCGGACCAATTGTACACTTTGGAGATTTGAATTTGAAGATAGATGTAAAGTGTGCAAAATTTTCTGCTTTTGGGTATGTGTTATTTATTTTTGTTTCATTATTATTTTAATCTAAAAGTTGTTTTGATATTTAAATGAGAATTTGGTGTTGTTTTTATCCTTTTCAGTTGACAAAGACTCATAGTCTTTTTGGGCTAAATGATAAGTGAAGGGAGACTTTGAGGAACCAGTATAGTCATTTAAGAAGCTATTCCCAGTTATCTCATTTAATGTTTTTAAGCTTACCGTTAGTACTATGCGAATACCAGTCTAAACATTTTTGTGGTGATATAAGTAAAGAGTGGGTTTAAGATCTTTATTTGCCTTTGGTACTATGCGAATATCAGTCTAAACATTTTTGTGGTGATGTAAGTAAAGAGTGGGTTTAAGATCTTTATTTGCCTTTAGTACTATGCGAATACCAGCCTAAACATTTTTGTGGTGATGTAAGTAAAGAGTGTGTTGTGGTGATGTAAGTAAAGAGTGGGTTTAAGATCTTTATTTGTTACCTCATTTGGTTTCACAGTGAGTTAGCAAATGAGGTAACATCAGCATGCTTAAGTGAACAAGTGGTTAATGTTTTTTGTTGGTATTTCAGCACGTTTGAAACTTTACTGATTTATTTATAGAAGTGTTGAATGGAAGGAAAAAGACACCACTTTTGTTTCTTCTTCACTTCTAGATGCCTTGTTTTTTTTTTTTTTCAGTGCCCCGTTTTAGTTCTTTGGAGTTACATTTTTGTTGTCCGTTCTTGAAATAACAATTAGGTAATGTTTTATCTTAGATATGATATATCGCATGTCGCAACTTTAAAATAAATGTGTTGTTATAAACATGTTATATTATATATGTTACATCTTCCATTTAACTATGTGGAATTGTAATTCTGATGGCATATGTCCTTCCTTTTGAAAAAAATAAAAATATTATTCGTTGAAAAATTCACCTAATGTCAAGGAATTGGAGGTTTATGATCTCGGTGTATTGGACCTTATACGCCAGAATCATCATATCAAATAATAGTTTTAAGATACTCCTATGAAAAGAGTCATGAACTTTTTATATTTAATTATTATTTTTTTTAATATTATTTAACTACTTGATTAAGGTAGTTTTTGAGATATGTAAAAATTTAAATGAATAATTTAATTTTTTTTTCAATTAATTAGTTTAAAAAGAGAGTTCATGATGGAGAGTTATATTGAAAGCATTAATTTACATTTTAAATTATTTGAAATTCTTCACAATCAATTTATTTTAAGGATTAATTTCATTGACACTTTTTCATATATCACATTAAATATCACATTAAACGGTTTTCAAAAATTACTATTATTCACATTATAAATGTTTGGTTTGTTTTTCACTTACATTCTAAATATTACTTTTCAGTGTTGAAAGCAATTTTTGTATATAAAATGGCATTGGTACCTTTTTAATCAATTAGAGACTATAATTTGTTATTTGTATATATTTTACCATTTGTTTGCTCCATATGCATTCAATGTTTCAGAGCTTGTCAGTCTAATTATATTATTATTCATCCTCAGCACAGTTGAATCATTTTAAAAAAAAAAATTTGTAGTGATTGTTATGTACCTAAAATTTGAAGTTTGTGATTTTAAATCTGATTTATTGTTGATTAATTTTAAAATTGTATGTTCATAAATTGTAATTGTCATTTTAGTTTGATAATCTTATATTAGTGATTGTGCGTACTTTAAATTTAAAAATTTAAAATTTAAAATTTATGCATAAATAATGAAGATGTTATCGATAATAAAGACTTTTGTGTTTAAGATGTTTCACTTTTTATATCTTTTGGATATGGACAAGAGATATGGTCTAATTACAAACGCGGAAAGTGATGAATAAGGATAATAATTTTTAGTCAGCCTTTCTAATTTATTTATTTATCACTTTCTTAATTTTATAATTATAGATTATTTGTATACATTTGTAATTGGATCACATTAACCGGTCAATAAATAATATTTACTCACATGTGAATAGTCAAGTCTTGTTCATAAAATATCTAGTAATAATATAATCAATTCTCTAGGGAACAATTTGTTAATATCTCTAGGAGTTTGTTAAAATATTATTTTGTGTAAAGTATACCTATATTTTTATTTTATTTTTTTAAGCCGTCATATGTGGAGAAAAAAACACACATTAATATTTTCCTCTAAATTCTTGCTTTAATTTTCTTCTCGGGTCTATCAAGCCAAATACATGGAGGTGAAAAAATGTGTTTGATAGTGCTTTTATACATAGTTAAAGCAAATACATTAGTCATTACGGAGTATGATTTCTTCAACACAAAAGTACACAGGGTACTGTTTGATAGTGCTGTTACTGCTTAAAAGGTTAAGTTTAAACTCAAGTTGCGGTGGTATCCTCCTTGAAAGGTAAAGTTTAACTCAAGTTGGTGTCGTAACCGTGGTATCCTCTCCGGTAAGGAAATTTCACTCATCACTTTACACTTAAACGTTAAACAAGTACAAAAGAATTTCTTATTTAATAATAGGAAAGCAAAAATCCTATTTAACAAATAGTTTTAAAATTTTACTGTAATATTTAAAATTCAATTTTTTGATCATATCATTTTAATATTTTAAATGCTACTTAAATTTCAACATTCATCATTGTGTTGGAATATTTTTTAATTGACACTCACACATTCATTCACATAAATTATTTAGCCCGAGATTTGAGCCTATGACTTGATGCTGGATTTATTATGTTGAAATTTTATTTTAATTATGTGAGTTATTTTTACTTATTTATTTATTTTTGACTCGGATCTCTTCTCACGGAGTACCAGAAACTTATATATATAATTGAATTTTCAAGTTTCAGCTTCATATTTTATATATAACATGAGAGTTATGCCATTAGACTTATTGAGAAAAAAATTAAAAAATTAATAGTTGGCTTTGCCTACTTAGGCAGAATCTCTTAGTGAGCCCACTAAAATTTATGACTCCCCAAACAAATAAAGCATATATATATATATTTTAGGGTATAAGCAATCTAATTAATCGATTCAAATAAAAAATGATATTTTCATAATAAAGTGATGTTATTTGATGAAATAAGAGATAACTTACTATGAACAATATGACAGAAAATCAACAAAGAAAAAGTACTGGGAAAATTCAAAATCCCAAAACCTTTTTACTTCGCTAATTTTTTATTTTATGAAAATTGATTGTGATTGGACGTTTTGATTTCCCAAGTTTTTCTTTAAAAGAAAAAGTTATGATTTTTATTTATTTTTTATTTTTTATGATACAGTTTAATTTTAATTAAAAATTTATGGATAATACTTTTTTTTTTTTTTTTTTTTTTTTTTTATATAGTTAGTACTCATACACACATGTCTAACCCTTGACCCCCATTTAAAATATAAGAGACTGATACTGTTACACTAAAAATTTATGAATAATACTTAAGGTCAGTTTGGTGCAATGAAAAAGGGTGGAAAGGGAATGGAAGGTGATGGAGGGGGATTAAAAATTGTTAGAAAGAAAAGGAAGGAAATGGAAGGCTTTGGAAGGTTATGTCAAAGTTTCGATAGTGTTTTTCTTATCATCTCAAAAATGGGAGGCAATGGAAAGAAAGTAAAGGCAATGGCTAATGGAGGAGTTGTGATGCTAATTTTACCCTCAAAATTACACAAGTTTGCAAAACAATATGCATACAAGTTAGCTGGAGAGAGTGAGAAACGGCGGGCCGGTAATTGAAGCTTGCGAATAGCGGCAATGGAAACTGAAAGATATGGGTTTTGATTTTCTAAACAATCTAAAATGATATATGGATACGGGTTTTGAACTTTTGATTTTTGGAGACAGATAGATAAATTGAAATATAGGGGGTTTTGAATTTCTAATTCTTGCAGTGCAAAGAGAGAGAGAGAGAGAGAGAGGGCAAGTTCAGAGTTGAGAACGAGAATAGAGATGGAGGCGAGATTGGGGAGGTTGAAATGATTTGCCCTAATTTTTTTTTTCTTTTCTAGTGGCCAGGTATAGGATATTATATATATATATATATTAAAATATATAAAGGTATAATAGTTAATTTATTAAAATAATTTCCTTTCCTTTTTTTTCCCAAACATGATTATTATCCTTCCCTTTATTTTTCTTCATTAACCAACCAAATACGATAAAGGGTTAAAATTATTCTTCCCTTCCTTTTTCCTCATAACTAATGTTATCATCTCTCTTCAAACCTACCGTACCAAACATAGCCTTATTCACTTATCAAATCAGAAATAGTGATTTAATTACCCTCTATGATTTAGTATTTAAAGATCACCCATGTCAATTTAATATTGTAAATTTTTCCTAATAAAGATTTAAGTATTGTCAAAATTTATTATTCTTGGTCATGGTAACTTGGTATTTATTTATTTATTTTTTTTCTATGCCTAATAATAATATTAATTACAAACAAGTTGTAAATTCCCTTCTTTTATAACTGTCCGATCCTATTGTTCTCAAAACCCCACTTTTTCAAATTTAATCAGGACCGCACGTTTCTTCCCAAAGTACAAAAATGTGTTACACTGATCTGAAGAAACACACGCACTCTCTCTCTCTCTCTCTCTCTCTCGATACCATCTGTCAGTACCTCTCTCGTTGCATCTCCTCCTACCTTTTGTGTTCGACGATTCGCCGGAAAACTCGGCACCAATCAGTCGGAAATTTCAGATTTCGGTAGAATAATTTATTGGGCAACTTTGTGTTAACGTCAACAGCTGACTGAACTGGGGCTCAATTTGAAGTGTTTTCAAACCCTAGGTTATGAAGCCGCCGGTCACCGTACGATTGGGTTTCAGCTGACTAACGGTCGGATTCGTCCCCGGATGGAGGGAGGTAGCGTCTCTAGACTTACTTACTATGGTACTGTTCATTTCCTCTACGGATGCGCATTTATTTACAAGTATATTTTAGAAGGAGAGGGTGCAATAAGGGCTAAATTAAGGGGCTTTTTGTTAATTTGGATTGAAATGATGAACACCAGTTGAAAAAAGTTACCTTTTTGGCTAGAGATATTTTGGGTATGCCATAAGTTTGATGAAAATGGTTAAAAATATTAATTGGTTTTCTCAAAAAAAAAAAAAGAGAGAGAGGAAGAAGAAAAAATTCTATCTTTGCTAATAATATAAGATAAGTTGATGGAAATGATAAAAATGTTAATATATATTTTCCCCAGTTATGTTTGGAGGTTGTAGTTAAGGGTGTGTACTATTCTGATTGGTAGTCGAAATTAATGTCGAATCACACTGGTTTAAAGTTAACTGTGGAAGATGTGATACTGTTCTCTTTTTGGCACCTTGGAATTTGTTTGACTAATTTTGTATCAAATTTTCAACACATACTTATTCCACATTTTCTAATTTTACTATTCGAACTAATAGTTATACAATTTGATCTATCCTTGTGAAATTTAGTGATAACCCGCTCCATTCCTAGATTTAGTCAGTTGTTTTAACAATTAGATTAAGTATGGTATGTGGCGCTAATGTAACAACACATGCACCCAACTCAGCCCATAGGCTGCTATACCTCTATGGGGACTTGAGTCCTCAACCTCCCATATGGTAGGATAAGAAGATACCACTTGAGCTGAAAGCTTGGTAATTAACTTATGGGAAACTTCCTAGTCATTATAGGCCCTGTGAGTTTTTTTTTTGGTTGTCTTATATAGAGGTATTTATGAGGAATTAATGGTAGAAAATTGGAAACAGATTTGAATTCACAAACTCTTTGTCAACATAATTTGTTCCTTCTTTAGTTTATTGTTGTAGTTGTCAGTTGTCAAAGAAGAGAGAGACCCAGGGAAGAAGCTCTGCTTTCTAAGATCCATAGCTTTCTTCTCGATATGGTAGAGACCCACTAGGAAATTACACTGATAGTTTTTTTTATAGAGAGAGAGTACGGGGGGTCCGAGGACATGCAAAAAGCGATAAGAGATCTCGTCGCTCAAACTCTACATATTATCAACCACAGATAGCGCTCCGGTCGAGCAGCAACGATGGCCTTTGTTTTATTCTTATCCCACTTCAATGCCTCTCTCTCTAGTGGGTGGACCATGTGGTTTATTAATTGATGACCTAGGTGACGCATCGTATGAAAGGGGAGGCAAAACATGTTGAGGCCCATATCAATAACAATTAAATTAGCCCTTGGCCCAGACTCTGGAGATAAGTGTTATTGGAATTCCAACTTTAAAAAACCTTTTCTAGGATCAGAAGGAACCGCCCCCATTGATGGCAACAGAGAAGAATTTGCATTAAATTGGACAGGGCTTTGGCAAATGCAGAGTGGTTTAATTCTTTTCCCAATCCAGCCAGATTCAGTGAGCTTCCCTACATTCCCTCCTCGCACAGGTATTCCGTATGTGAGAAAGAGGCCCTCACGGTGTAGGGGCGGGGTGAATATTCCTTTCTAACTTTCTTTAGGTGACGGATATGTTGGTGGGACTGAAAAAGCCTCAAAACCAGATGCATCAACTTACTTGAATGGCTTGGGACGCTCTCCGCAGAATAAATTACCTGTTGATTTATGTATCTTTTCTTTACATGTATTACTTGATAATTGCGGGTATGTTGGAGCAATTGAACCATTCTAAAAAGTGACATCTTGTCTGATTACAAAACGGATATAACCTGTGACCCTTTTTATTCGTGTTTTTTGCTCAAGGATGGACAATCATTTGACATTTTCACCAACTTCTTTACATGGTATTGGACGAGGTTACTAGAAGTTGCATATAGAGTGTTGATATGCTTTGGATCCAATAGACCGTGGTTCGAGGAATGTGTTTTTCACGCTTTTGTAGTGCTGGCAGAAAATGGTGGAGTGAGCTTGAAGGACAAATATTTAATAATTAATAAGCAAATATTCAGCACATGTAACAGGGTTTAAATCTGAAGGCATATGAATTATTTTTTGTTTTGATGTGAATAGTCAGCATATAGAACAGGGCTTAAATATGAAGGCATATGAATTCTGTTTTGTTTTGATGTGATGTATTTGAAGTTCATATAGTTGCATATATTGTTTTTATTTCCTTGTAAAACGATATGTTAGTCAGTTTGGTACTCAGTCTCTATTATCTGTATAGAAGTCCTTCCCTCTCTCCCCTCTCCCTCCTTTATCCTTTTCCCACCAATTCGTTTTTTTACCCCTTTGTAGAAATAAACCGATGGATTATGATGACAATGACTCTCAAGGCCATAATCTTCATTTAGCTGGTGAAGGGAGCTCCAAATTCTCTCCTGTTCTGAGTCCTTACGCTCTTCCGAAGTTTGATTTTGATGACAGCCTCCAGGGACAACTAAGGTTTGACAGTTTGGTCGAAAACGAGGTTTTTCTTGGCATCCCGAGTCAAGAAGACAATCAGTGGATTGAGGATTTCTCTAGGGGTAGTAGTGGAATAGAGTTCAGTTCAAGTGTTCCAGAATCTTGTTCCATTTCGAGGCATAACAATGTTTGGTCTGAGGCAACATCCTCAGAATCTGTTGAAATGTTATTAAAATCTGTGGGGCAGGAGGAGATGGTCCTAGGAGAAACTGTCATTAAAGAGTCTGATGCTTCTGATGAATTGGGTAGCTTAACCAAGCAAATGGAGTCTAATTCGAAACAGGATGATAGAATGAAGGACGTTATAGATTCACACCCTGCACTACCACCAAGTCAGTTTCTTGAAAACTCTTCTAGGTTGGATGAGAGTACCGAAAGGACACACCCTCATGTTGAAGGAGCTTCACAAACACAAGTGGTTGAATTATCTTCCTATGGAAGTTCAAGTGAGTTGGAACCAAGCGCTGTTGATGAAAAGTGTGGTTTATGTGTGACTGAGAAGAATCTGGCAACTGATAGAAAATGTAATAATGCAAATGAAGCTGAAGCCGATACTTCAGTGAATGAATCTCTCGACAAGAAGATGGAAAAAGAACCCTCTGTTTCTGGGATGCAAATTTGTCAATCCTCTTCACAGGATAATGTTGCAAGTGTGGGGGAGTTGAACAATCAGGAAATCCAACATCAGCTTAGTTTTGAGAATGTCAATGGTTTATCAAATGACATTAGTAGGAGAGCGGATGAAGAACATGTTGTTAGTAAAGACGCGAATTTGGATGATTTAAATTTTAAGGGAAGTGCAGTTGAAACTGGTACATATAATCTACTGAGTCCTCTCAGTTCTGCTCCAAAGTCGGATTCTTTAGATGGACTTGCAATTGAATCTAATACCAATAATTTTGAAGAATCTTTTTTGCCACTAGAGAGGGATGGTGACATGCAGATAGCTGAAGAATGCAGTGAGGGTGCTTGTTCCATAGACCCTGCTCTGGGCAGCAAGCGTGGAGCTGTGGTTTTGTCTAAAAGCACAGAGATTAATCAGCAATGTAGGGGAGATATGCAAGGGGCACCTGTAGTTTTTCAAGGTGATGGTAATATCGAGGGACATGCTGTTGAGATGGGTTCTAACATGCAGATAACAGATGGGCAGAGCAGTTCTATTGAGAAGAAAGAGAATCTTTTGGAAAGTGATCACCAATTGTTTTGTGAGGCTTCAGTTAATAATTCCGAGGCATCTTTGTTGTCTGGGGTACATTATGAATGTTCTAATGGTCAAGGTGATGGAAGCAGCAATGATCACGTGGGAGATCCTTCTAATTTAATGGTAGTTTGCTCTTCAAATGAGTTACTTTTGGAAAAAAATCCAATTGAAGATTTAGAAGTTGTTAACGATCCTTCTGCAATCCACAAAAAGGACTTAAATGCTGAACATAATGTTTCGCCTCCCATGCTAGCTGGTTCTGTGCAAATATGCGAAAGAGATTTGATCACCAAACAGGGTGGTGACGTTCACCATGCTGAAGATGTCTCTCTCAATGAAAAAGGAAATGAAAAGTTGTCTATTGATGCACGTGATTTGGATTGTGAGACTGTTGGATCTCTTAGACTGGATAGTCTAGGTGAAGGTATTAAAGAAAATGACATGATAGTGCATAAATCGGAGCATGATCCTACTGCCATGAATGAACTGGGTATATTATGTAATAATTAATTCTGAATTTTGGAATAGGGAATCCACGAAGTATACTGATGTTAATGCACTTCATTTTCTTTTTGCAGCAATGAATGTTGCTTTGGAAAATACAAACTTAGCATCACATACGAAATTGGATAATGTTTCCTTGCCATCTGTAAATGGTGCTGCTGCCGATGGAGTTACTAGTCACGGTGACGAGCAGAAGTTACCCTCACCTGTAGTTGGGTTTATGCACTTGGATGGAAGTGAAGAAACCAAAGTTCAAGTTTCAAAGGAAGCAAATTTATTGACCCTGAAGAAGTGTTCAAATGGGGCAAATGAGCTAGGTCCTGTTTCTGGACTTGAAACAGGGTCTAGTGATTCTGCCAACCAATTGCTGCAGGTAACGGTTGATCAGTCATTGTCAATGGTGGAGTCTCATGATACAGCAAGCCGGAATGAACATGCAGAGGCAGGAAATCTTATTCAAGAGGGCTCTAGGAAGTTGAAAGACAACCCTGTTCTTTGTGATTCATTTGTAAAAGAGTATGGTAATGAAGCTGTAGTTCCTGAAAATCATGGAAAAACAACAAGAGGGGAAAATCATGATGCAGTGACCTCGGGGATTGCAGGTAATCTATTCTCTCATTTCTTTCTTTATTTATTTTTTCCTTCCCACTCTCAATGATATGAAATTAACCCATGGGGTTCGCTTGCATCTTTTTTTTTGCCATCTTGTTTTTGCTGTTATTAATTTTTTTGGCAGTAGTATATGAAAAATTCCATTATAATATGAATTATCATGGGATAAATTATCCAATATCTTCCTATCATTAAGTAGTGGCCAACAGCCATAGCTGTCCTAGCAATGCGTACCATTGTAGTCCTATTATTTAAAGAGAGGGTTGGGGTTCTGGTTCCCCCCCCCACCCCCTCTTAAAACAAGATACGAATTTCCCTGTTGAAGAAAGGAGAAAAAGATTACAATGACGAATGACGACTGGGGTTTCAGTTTTTAGTGTTAGTAATTTTTTTTTTTGAATAAAGGGGTAATGCTCAACTCATATGTCTTATATTCAAATTCCTTGAACGAGAAGAACATGTTGGAGTTGTTTGGCAGTTGGTTTCGTTGCCTTCAGCAGGTAAATTTTGTCAGAACACTGGCTTTTGATCTCAAATTTCATCTATTTTTTTCATAATTAAAAGCCCGGTATTTCCTCAAATCCTTTCTCAAGTTCTTTGTTTCGCCATTTACCTAATTGTTCACAACCAATTTTCATTGGTTAGTTTATGCATATGCATGTGTTTGGTTTTGAGTGCTTCACATCATTCCATTCCTGATTCCATTTTAAATGGCAAAAAGGACAAAAGAGAGTGAAAAACGGATATAATTATTGGAAAAGAAATAACAGCAATAGTATTCGTACCTGCAACCTTTTAAACTCCCATATTCATAGTATCTTGTATCTCTTTGAATAGTTTCATGATGGAAATTTTAGGGTTTTTCTTGGATTGGATGCAAACTTCGAGCCTAGTTTGTCAAAAATTTACATCACGACAGTGTTAATGATTTTCTCCAATGTTTGGTGGGAAAAAAGAAACCACTATATTAGTAGGCCAAGATGTCCACTATATTAGTAGGCCAAGATGTCTATATATAAAGGTTATCAATGTGCATGTTCTTCATTCATCGTTTAGTTTTTTTCCTGTGAGTGTTTCTTTTCTGATGGCTGTATTGGATTTTGCAGTCGATGTATCAAAGGATCATCAAGGCCTTCTGTCTGAATGCGATGCTGATTGTGCGCTTGAAGGTGGAGGCAGTTCTGCAGATTCTGATAAACCCAATCCTGGTTCACCCATTGTCATTAGTTGCACTGAGCTTTCTAAAAGTGAAAAAGACTTGCAAGAGGGAGTTAAGGGGTCCCTGGGTTCAATTGTTCCACCTTCTGAAGTCACTGATGAAATTGCCAACAAAGTTCAGTCATCTTCCCCGAACCAAAGGGGAAGTGATGCCACCAAAGATGAGAGCAGCTTCAGTTTTGAAGTCGGTCCATTGACAGGTCTGTCTGAAAGAGAAACTGGCAAGGGTTTGCAATCATTTTCTAGTGCTCCTCCTTGCAAAATATCCACGGTAATCTCTCTTTTTGTTAATACTTAAATCATGCTTTCTAGCAACTCATTTTAATACATTACATTTTCTCATTCTTGAGTTTCTCTAATGATTGTTGTCTTGGATTTTCACTGAAGGTTGTGGAAGGAACATCAACCTCTGGCGTGGGGCAAATGGATCCTGTGATTGTGCCAGAAATTTCTCATGGTAGTAAAGCACCTAATGGAGAGAATTCCCGTAGGCGTTCCAAAGGCACCCTTGAGCGTAAAACAAGGCGAGTCTCTGGTAAGCCAACAGGGAAAGAAAATACTAAAAAGGGAAACCTTGTGAAGGAATCGACCCTTGCGAAACAGCCAGAAAGAGGGGATAAATCATATATTGTGTCCTTGAGTCCCTCTGGGACTGGTCAACTTGTGCAATTTGAAGGGTTGAAGCCTTATGGAAATGTTGAAAACAGTGGTACAAGACAATGTGGTGTCATTTCCATTCCTGCATCTAATATGCTGGATTTAAACTCTTCAACTCTGTCGTCTGCATTATTTCAACAACCTTTCACGGATTTGCAACAAGTGCAGTTGCGGGCACAGATCTTTGTTTATGGATCTCTGATGTGAGTCGTGTTATTTATTGTCTATATACATACACATTGTGGCATAAAAAAATAAAAAGAAGAGAAAAACTCACAAAGAACCTGTCAGTTTAGCCATTATTATTGGTTGAGTGCTGCAAGCTCTGGCATGATATATGAATAATAGTTAAGTGATGGCTAATGAAGAAAATTATTTTGTCAAAAATGTCTATTGTGATATTTATGGTGTTTTTTTTCTGTTTGTATGAATAGAATTTGGCCCCGAGTTTTGAGTTTTCTCGTTTTTCATGCATCTGTCATGTGGAATTTACATCAAATCGTGCTTGAAAATTGTTGTTGTTGCAGACAAGGAACAGTACCTGATGAGGCTTGTATGGTTTCAGCCTTCGGGACATCCGGTCAGTTCAATAACCCTATACCTGCATTATCTGTTGAGTCACATTTACAGATATATGGTCGGTTGATTGACATTTTATGTTTATAGATGGTGGGAGGAATGTCTGGGAACCTGCTTGGCGCGCTTGTATGGAAAGTATCCAGGGTCAGAAATCCCATCCCAGCAATTCTGATACCCCTAATCAATCACGTTCAGGTATCTTAGGATTTTAGCCATATGATTTCTGTATAGATTGGTTAATTTCTCATTGCATCGAAATTGGGAAATGCAGGTGCCAAAGCTTCAGATCAAGCAATTAAAAAAGGTGCATCCCAGAACAAAGTGCTTTCTTCACCTGGCGGCAGAGCATGCAGCAAGGGTGCGCCTTCACCGGTTGTTAATTCTATGATACCCCCTTCATCACCACTTTGGAATACATCTAACAGTTTGCAGTCCAGTGGTGTTGCGAAGGGCACACTTCTTGATTATCAAACACTTTCTCCGTTGCATCCTTATCATACTCCACCTACGCATAATTTTGTTGGACATAACACTTCTTGGCTATCTCAGTCCCCTTTTCCTGGTTCCTGGGTTGCTTCTCCACAAACTTCTGCATTTGATGGCAGTGCTCGTTTTTCTTTGTTGCCCATTACAGAAGCCGTAAAATTGAACCCTGTCAAAGAATCATCTTTGTCTATTTCTTCCAGCACAAAGCATGCATCGTCTAGTCCTGTGGTTCTCAGCGGGGGTCCAAGTGTCTTTGCAGGGGCTTCTTCCCTGCTTGACCCAAAGAAGGTGATGGTATCACCTGGCCAGCATTCTGCTGATCCAAAGTCTAGAAAGCGGAAAAAGGTTCCTGTTTCTGAGGATCTTGGTCACGCATCTTTGCTTGCTCAAACGCAGACAGAATCATTATCCACTCCTGTGGTTAGTAGTCATTTGTCCACATCAGTTGCCGTTACAACTGCTTTCCCTGTGTCTAAGAGCAATGCTAGTAAATTTGTTTCAAATGTAAAGCCTACATCTTCCACTGACCAACTGAAACTAGGGGATCAGAATGCAGAGCAGAAGGTTACAATTTCGGAGGGCACTTTTAAAAATGTTGAATTGGCTAAGCTAGAAGCAGAGGAGGCTGCTACTCTTGCTGCTGCTGCAGTTAGTCACAGCCAAGGTGTATGGAATCAGTTGAATATGCATAAGAATTCTAGAATGATTTCAGATGTTGAAGCTAAGCTAACTTCTGCAGCTGTTGCAGTAGCAGCAGCTGCTGCTGTTGCCAAGGCAGCAGCTGCAGCTGCTAAGGTTGCATCAAATGCTGCATTGCAAGCAAAACTTATGGCTGAGGGTGCATTGGCTAGTGGAACTGGCAATACGGTAATATCTCGTTATAATACCATTAACAATTTTGGGAAGGCTACTCCATCATCCATATTGAAGGGAGAGGGAGGGGATGGGAGCGACTATTCTAGTTCAATCATAGTTGCTGCGAGGGAAGCTTCTAGGGGGAAGCTCGAAGCTGCTTCAGCTGCCTCAAAGCACGCCGAAAATTTGGATGCCATAGTAAAAGCTGCAGAGCTGGCAGCAGAAGCAGTATCTCAAGCAGGGAAAATTGTTTCTATGGGTGATCCTTTACCTCTCAGAGAGTTAGTAGATGCTGGTCCAGAGGGCTACTGGAAAGTTCCCTTGGTACCTTCTGAACATGGTGTAAAATCAAACAAAGTGAGTAAAGACCGTTATAACATGGACGGTATTGATTCTGTTGAAGAAGGCATTAATGTTTCTGCTAAACAAGCCAAGGAGGGACTATTGGATGAGAGTCCAACCACTGACCATGGTCTGCCTCCTCTTTCAAGAGAGATCTCCAGAGAGTTGGTGAAGGACCACACAGGAGAGGTTGATGGCATCTCAGGGTCCATTACAAACAATGAAAAGAATTTAAGAGGGAGAAAAGGTCGTAGAGCTTCTGACTTGGCCAAAACCATAGGGGTGGTTCCAGAATCTGAGATTGGATCAAGATCTACTTCTGTCATAATTCAGGACGAGAATGAAAAAGCGCCAGGGAATTTGGCAGAAAACGGCATCAAGGAGGGTTCCCTTGTTGAGGTTTGTGAGTTGCAAGTGATTAGATTTATCAATTGCTTGACCTGCAAATTTAAAATTCTGGAGAATCTTATATAAGTTCTTTCAACTTGCTATGACACTTCCGATTATTCTTTCTGAGTTATGATCTGAGGCATATTTGAGGATTTTGCATGCACATTTTCTTCTTAGCAATTCATGTTGATATACTGTGTCTATTCTTCGTTATTTACGTCTGTATTAACTTGCTCATTTCATGCTTTAGGTTTTCAAAGATGGTGATTTTAAAGCAGCCTGGTTCACCGCCAATTTATTGAGTTTAAAGGATGGAAAAGCTCTTGTCGGTTACACTGAACTCCAGTCAGATGGAGGTAAGCTGTAGCAGTGTATGTCTATAGGATTTGTTAGGGAACTGTTGAATGTGGATGCAAGTAAACATGTGATGCAGAATCTTGGATGAAGATAGTGTGAAAACATAACACATTAGCCTAACGTGAAAAATAGAATCAGTTGTACGAGGGCCACTTTGCATATCGTGATGTTTTTGAGGGATAACGCGGCACATTTGTGCTCTATCCTGTGGAACAAGATACTTTTTCATCTTCATCTCATACAATGAAAAGCTGACTGAATTTTATATCATGCTTTTCTCTTTGGGTGTTGTGGTTGTTATTCTCGTGCATAAAGGTCCAGACTACAGCTGTGAAACATGGTAATAAGGATTTCTAGAGTGGGGGGACAGTCAAGTAATTGAGTACTACTAATACTGCAGAGCTTCCCTAGATAGTGTCATGTGCTTGCTGGTTTTCTTATTCTTCTCATTCAAGTATAGTTGAACAATGATTTTCTTTGTACCCATGTTGTTTTACATTTATGTTTCATGTGTGCCTTATTCAACAATATCACAGGAATGGTTGCCCATGTAGATCTAGTTTAATTCTCTCTTTATATTCGTGTTCAGGTTCAGGGCATTTGCAGGAATGGGTAGCAATTGAAGGTGAAGACAACAAGGCACCAAGAATACGTACTGCCCATCCTATGACTACTATGCGGTTTGAAGGAATGAGGAAGAGACGCAGAGCAGCTATGGGTGATTATGCTTGGTCTGTTGGTGATAGGGCTGATGCATGGGTGCAAGATTGGTAAGCATGTCATTTTCTCACAGCATATTTGCCTGATTATTTGGGTTATGTAATGTCTTCTTGATATTCTCTTATCCATGATAAATTTATGTGGTTACAAGACTTCTTGTTTAATGGTTAAAAATCAGAGCACAGGCATAAACAGTAATAATCTGCAAATCCTGCAACTGGTTGAACTAAGGCGATAGGATTAATCAATTTAGTTTTGTATTCTGTAAAGTTGATAAGCCAGTTTATTGTTATGAACTTGAGAAAATGTCAAATAACTTTTTCTTCATAAATGTTATGATGCTCGATGGTTTCTAATTTTCTCCTATACTTTTAACCTAATATATCCCCCTGCATTATATGGATTATCTTTGTATGGTAACCTTGCCTATCAAGTTGTTATGTGTCTATATTCTATGAGCCAAAATAACAATAGTTTTTTTTTTTTTTTTACCTTCTCTCTACAAGTGCTTGTATCATTTTCATTTGCCTATGTTGATTCTGACGTGGCCCAAATATGTTCATTTTATGCTTGTTTAAAACAATTAAACCTTAAAGTCGAAAAATTTAAGTATGATTAGTGTAACCGTCACATTTTTCACTGAACATTCTCAAGATTCATTTTGGTTTCACATTGCCTTTATGCTATCTAATGCAACCTCCTTTTCTGCGTTTGGATCGGATAAGCTTGAAATATTAGGCTCGGCACAGATGGAGTTTGGAGTTACCAGACTAATTTTTTGGTATGTCTTCATGTTGAAGATCATCTCTTTTCTAGTCTCAGACTGCAGGATCTGGTATGTCCAGGCTAGTTCATGAGCACCTTCACTGCTTAGCCATGTGATTGTGCACATGGATCTGGGAGCGGACATACCACCATTTGTTAGACAATCATGTTGTTCTAAGGCGACGTCGACACTTGTCCTTAAGACACTACTCGAATCAAACGCTTATAAAAACATCCGAGTACATGACTCACATCACATCACCTAATCATCCTCAAGCTTACAATTCACGACACACCCCTAGCCATCACCGAAAGTATTAGACACCAGAAACTTACAATCTCTATTCGGCAACTCATACCTCACACATCACTGGTCAAGAAGCACTACAAAAACCCAAAGACTTCACCTCCCTCCGTGGAAGTGAGTTGACCCCTCCAACCAGGACTTCTACCGTTGAACTCTAACAGCACAACAAACCACACACGAGTCCGTCCGTCCACGGACGCACGCAACTCTTACATGAAGGACAAGACATACAACAATTGACGTCCTTGCCAAGATTAGAACAAATAGAAAGAGTAGCGACCCTGTTCTCACTAGAGACTGATAACTCGTACCTGAATGCACCAGATACTTTGTCACACTTCGCTCACCACTCTTCTAACCATGGACACCTAATCTCACCTGAGGTGAACTAATTCCTCACACACAAGGTGAAGAACCAACTGAACACGGAACTACAAACTCAATTCTAGGCAAACTTGCCACTAATAGACCATCACACCCTATCAACACAGAAACCTCGCAAACGATACCCCGCAACACCCATGCTAACTAAGACCAATCAAATAAGAGCACCAACGCTCACGATACACTAACACTATAAACAATCACAGCCATTTGGACACCGCGTCCTGTTTAACCTAGAATCAGTCACTCCCAAATGACAACCTCTAAACCATAAAAGACACTCTACCACCAATTCAATCTTTTCCTCCCCAGACGATACTGCCTCAATCCCCGTGCACACAAGACCCGTGACCTCCACCACAACAACCCACTAACTCGTGAAAAGAAAAAGTGCTTAACCGGCTACATTGTCCTTACTGAATCTATTGACTAAACCGTCCACAATCGCCTCAACTAGTGCACAGTCCCATCACCTATCTGACAACACACAACAAACAACTCGTAAGCTCAAACCCACCCTTGGATCATATCTTAAACCATTCCGCTCATCACTACTAAACACCACACCCATAGATATTTAAATTCACAGTTCTGCTTGGACAAACTTAAAAATTGGTCAAGAACAACAGTATTGTTATTAATATTTTTTGCCGGTTGCTTTGTTTATTACTTTGATGAAACTGTTATTTATCTGATTAAATTAATCTAGTTATTGGAATAAGTCTAGATGTTGATAGCCATCAACATGTAGTTGTTTTGATGCAGACACAACAAAGTTAAAGATGAATGCAGTAAAATCTAAATTTGATGTGGGAATAGAGCTTAATCACAAATCTCATCTTTAATAGGATCATCTCACCTAGGTAGGTTATAGGTTATTAAAGACATAAGGGTTAGAAATCATGTGCTATATAAAAATTAATATCTGGAGATATAATATAGAGATTGTTTTTAGGGTCATTTTATTTTTAAAACTTTTTTGACATGGAAGAACTTGAGTCTTTTTTGTAAAAGTAAGATATAGTTTTGCTTTGACATGATTTATTGTGGCTTTATAGTAAATTTTGAGTCATTTTTACATCATACCTCACTCTATTATTTTGAAAAGAAGGAAATGGTCCAAAATTTAACCCATAAAGAAATAACCAACTTTAGCAAACCTAGATTATGTATTAAGAAAGATTTTTGTAGATATAATCATATATACCATAAATAGGAGAGATATCAGTTTATTTTGAAACATTGAAAGAATTGCTCCTCCTTTGTTGCAACATAAGCATTGGTTCTCTACTACTTCTCTCTCACACACACACACACACACGGCCCACTAAATCTGATTGAATTTATTTGAACTCTCTGAAATTCAATATTATGAAGTGATTATCAAAATATATATATATTATGAAGTGATTTGAAGTGATTAGTTATTTGTGCATCTTATTTCATTTTCCTGTTCATAAGTCTGATTCCATGAAAATTATTCTGTTTCCATGGACCATACAATCACAACCTTGGAAGGGTTTCTTTTGTTATAGACTTGTAGTTATCATCTTTGATACATATCATATTATTCTGTTTTGGTAAAATAATACTACGCAGAGATTCTGAATAATCCATGTACTTTTGGTATCGAATGTGGAGTTGACGGCCTGTATCTTTGATGCCTTTGGTGTTTTTTGAGCATGAAACTAGTTTTCTTTATTTGAAGTGCCACAAAAGAGTTTGTTCCTGAGCTAGGGTACATAATAACCAGCCGCGTGCTACTGTATCTTATCTCATTTATGCTAATATTGTATTTTAGCTGGCGAGAGGGAGTTGTCACTGAAAAGGACATAAATGATGAAACTGCATTATCTGTCCGTTTTCCAGGTATTTTCAATCGATCATCTTGGTTAAATCACTCTTCCAATTGTCATATCGTGACGTTGGTAGTTTTGAGAGTTGACTGTTTAGAACTGATTTTTTCTTGGTTGTCTTTGCAGCTGAAGGAGAGACATCGGTTGTTAGAGCATGGAATCTGCGTCCAACTCTTATTTGGAAGGATGGGAAGTGGATTGAATGGTCCACTTCAAGAGAAAAGGACAGTTCTTTTCAGGTGTTTTGTCTACATGTGTATTTGCTTCATGATTATTTGTTTTAAACTTTAAGTTGCTTGTTTATATTTACTTGGTTCTATTTCTGGTTTTCAGGGTGATATGCCACAGCAAAAGCGATTAAAGATGGGCAGTCCTGCAATACAGGGCAAAGATAATGATAAAATGTCAAAAAATATTGATCTTGTGGATTCTAGGAGAGCGGAACAGTCACATTTACTGCCCTTAACCGAGAATGAAAAGATATTTAATTTTGGTAATCATAGCAGAGACGAGAACAAGCCTGATGTACTTAGAACATTAAGGTCTGGTCTGCAGAAAGAAGGCTCAAAAGTGATTTTCGGTGTCCCGAAGCCTGGAAAGAAAAGGAAATTTATGGATGTAAGCAAACACTATGATACAGAAAGGAGCAGTAACAATGATGAATCAAATGATTCGGTTAAATTTGGAAAATGCTTGATGCCTCAAGTTTCTGATTCCCATGGATGGAAAAAGGATTCTAAAATTGATTTCAAGGAAAAACAGGAAGCTGAATCCAAGCCTAAGGTGGTTAAGTCTAGGAAACCGCCTAGTGTTCCAGGCAGAACTTCATCTCAAAAGGATAAGTTTATGACATCTGCCCGAAGTGATGGCACCATGACAGATCATGTAATGAAAGATTCTAATAGCAATGATGAACATGAATCAGGGCAGAGGAACTTGAGGGGATTCAGATCATTTTCCAACTCCGAGGAAGCCGATGCGGAAGAAGGCCAAACTTTATTTTCTTCACTGGCTCTTCCATCAGACGTTTCATCTAAGAAATTACCGGCATCAAATGCAAAATCTGAACGTCTGAATAAAGGAAAACTTGCAGCCTCTGGTGGAAAGTTCGGTAAAAGCGAAGTGAAGGACAAGGTCTATAATGGTAACATGGGAAAAACAATTCCCGAAGTTGTGGAGCCCCGTAGAACAACTCGCAGAATTCAGCCTACATCAAGGGTAAGTCCTACAATCTCTTTAATATTAAGTGATTAAGTTCATATTTGTAATGACATGTCTGCTTAATATCTTTTACTATATTTTATTGCATGACTCGACTCCATCAATTGTAGTTATTATTTTTCTTATCATTCATCGAATCTGGTATTTTGTCTCTCGCATCACACTTCATTGAATCTGGTCCTTTGTCTCTTGCATCCAATCGGTGCAGCCCCCAAATCCCCACACCCCACCCCCAGATGTATGTGTACGCTTGTGCATGTATATTCCTTTGCTTCCCAATGATATGGCATATAAATGTTAAAAGTGTGAATTAACTCAGGAGTTATTCATACTCCCAAAAAAGTCCAATAAAAACATCTTCTGATTCCTAGTGTAACGAATATTGTATGTTTTTCACCTCATCCTTGGTTGCGAACTGATGCCCATCAGTTCTTTGATATTATTAATAGGGCTGCAACCTCGGTGGGTTCAACTCAGACCAACTCGAACCCAACCCAAATTTCGTTCTGGCTGGTCAGCCTTCTTCTATATTGGGCCTGGGATGAAAATTTTAACTGGACCCAAATTGCTTTGGCCAGAGGCCTTGGCATTAACCTACCTGAATCCAACCTTATATATGCAAATATAAATATGAATTTTAAAATATATGTGTGTATATATGTCTATATATGTGTGTGTATATGTCTATGAAGGATATAATCTAATTATCTTGTTTATATATCTCCTCAACCACAGGATTGCTTTTCAAAGTAATTTTAATAACAAACGATAGCCTTTGACGTGGGATAAATATAAGGCTTAAATACATGGGATGAAACCATATTCCCCAATCTCTATCAAGCACAGTGCAGCATCCTTGGAATTCTGCTGATTGATCTATTATTTCATATTTCTTTGACCCCTCAATTTCTCAAAGTTACATGTTCCCAAATTAGAACTAAAAGTGAATAACAGTTATATGTTGTTGAATTTGATAATTTTATTATGTTCCCTAACCTGACTGAGACCAAGCTTTATATAGGATGTAGTTGATCTCGCGTGAGGGGCTGAACTCCTACAGCTGAAGGTTGGATTTAGTTGGGTGTGGGCAGAACCTGCCAGAGCTCAGGCAGGGCCTAGCTTGAACAAACATGTTCAACTTGCACTCTTATTATTGATGAGAAAACTTTTGTCTTGCTTCCATTGTGTCTTTACAGCAATAGCTCTATATAGGATATTTATTTCTAAGAATTTACCAGTTATCTGTACAAGTCCCATGTCCAACCTTCCTGCCATGAACCTAAATTCGGATTAGGATACCCCAGTTTCATGCATCTTGGAGCCACGTAAGTTTCATACTGTGATTGGTGGTAGATTCCATAACAATGATTGCAGTTTTGAAGAAGTCTACTTAATAGTTGGTTTGGTGGGAGGGAAGAAGGAAGGTGGGAGGAAGTAAAAAGTGGAGTGATTGGATGGAAAGAGTAGGAAGGGAAAGAAGAGAATGGAATAAAGGTTGTACCTTCCTTCTTGGCCCACTGCCATATTTTTTCTACTTGAAGGTTGAAGGAAAGGATGAGGGAAAGGAAGGAGCCCGTTTTTGTTAGTTTTACCTTTCTTTTACGTTTTTGCCCTTGAAATAACACTATTCCTTTAATATGTAAGAATACGAGTGCAACACTCCTTTCCTATCTGCTCAGTTAAACAAAAAGCAGAGAAGGGTAGTTTTTTCATGGCTAGCATGGTTGTCAGGATTGGGATCCTATGTTGGATCGAAGTGGGGGTCTATAGGATCAAATTTTAAGATCCTACAAAACGATAAATAAAAAAAGTACTAGATTTTAAGTTAAAGTAACATAGAATAAGCCTAGAACAAATATAAGAAACATACGGAATAAGCCTAAAGAAAAGGTACATAGAAATCCACAACTAACATAAGAATTGACAAATTGTGCATTCAGGTACAAGTTTACCTAAGCATATTTGAGAATGTAGCTCAAACAATGGAGCCCTCACACCAACTATGCAATTGAAAAGATCTCACCAGTAAGATCCTCCCCTCAGTAAATAATCAGAAACCAAGGTAAAGAAATCTGAAGAATTTAGTGACATATAGGAGTCGGATGAAGCTAAATGTGACTGAACATGGTCAAACTTATTCAAGGTTAACACTTGCAAATGCCCAGAAACTAAATTTGACTTGTATACAATACTGTTTCTCAAAATGATATAGAATGAGAAAATATAAAAAGAAGTTTCGAAGTTTCTTACATACACTTGTATTTTGTTGTCCCTTGTTTTCCCTGGAAATTGCTAACTAGATATGAAAATTGAAAACCTTGCATTTTCCTTTCCTTTGCTAAATTCACAAACCAAACCTAAAATGAGGAGATTGACATTATGCAGACTGTTTGTAATCACGCCCCATCTTTTTGTTTGATTGTCTGAGAGGATGGTGTACCTTGATTATATCCTTGTTCCTGATACTGAACTTCGTCGCACATCTCAGTGATTTTCTAAATTCTACAATACACTGTTAATTATAGTGTATAGGTGAGTCACTGATATGACCTACCAATTTTGGCGGTTGACAAACAATTGTTGTGATGATATACACAAACAACTTAAGTCTTATCGCAACTGTTTGGAGTAAAATGGAGTGATTGATTTTGTTGCTTACAGCTATTGGAAGGATTACAAAGTTCACTGATCATCTCAAAGATTCCTACTACTTCACATGACAAAAACCACAAAAGCACAAAGAAAGGTACTTCAAGAGGTAAATATTCAAGTTCTGGTTTTTGTTTCGAGATTTTCTTGATGAAATAGCAATAATGCTATATTGGAGCTGGCCTCTATTATTCGTGCACACGGTTCAAAGTGGCTATTTGTTTTGAGGGAGTGATTGTAAAACTGACTTCATACTTTGTGTGTAACAGGGAATAACCATGGTTGAGAGGATCTTTGACAATGATGAGATCTAGTCCAAAGAAATTTGGTGGCTACCATGTGATTGAAACACCCGGCTTAGGGTTTGTGTATATTAAAAATAGTGGAGAATACTAGGGTTTTGAATCTCTCTCGTCCCAAGCTTCCGCTGTAAAATTTAGTTAGTAGATGTTAATATCGATTTTTAGTTTTCTTACACAATTATGAGATGATCTTCCTAGGTTCATGATTATAGGTTGTAGAAGGAATTCTCAATGTAGTTTATTTAGGAACAGCTTCTCAAAAGAACCATTATAACAAAACATTTCGCACCTTCAATTGATCATATTCACATCTTTTGGAATATATTCTTTTTCTGCGATGTGGGTTTGGCCTTAGCTGAAGAAAACTTATTAAAGGTGTAGTTTACTAAGTGAAGCAACCCTGTTTGGTGATTCTTTTACCAATGAAACATTTTTAAGAGTAATGTTATCAAGAGCCATGAGAAGGCTATTAAATGATTCATTGGACTTTTCACAAATTTCGGGGGAAAAAACTCTTTATCCAATTTATAAATACACAGAGCTCGTGATTATGTATCATGGGAGGACTTTCTTTGTATCCTTATTTTATTTTTAAATGATAAATTTATTAATTGTCAAATAAATTTAAAGTTTGCATGAAATGTTATCGTATGAGATAGAGTCAAATGTAGCAGAAGGGAGAGAGTTTGAAAGTGGCAAATATTAATTCATAGTCAGACGGAGTAGAAGAATTTCAAGTCACATGAAATGAGAAGGGGGGCAAAATTTAAGTAACAGTCACACGGAATGGAAGAATTTCAAATCACATGAAATGAGAAAGGGGGAGAGAGATTAATGAGAACAATCTTGTAACTTAGGTATTAGAAATCTCTTCAAATCTATAAGATGGTTTCCAATTACAATTGTTTTTAAAATATAGTAATGGCATTTTAAAATTAAAATATCGTCATTATTAAATACATCCTAGCATAGACTAGAGTGACCATAAAGTTTTTTCAACCATTTCCATCTTTTGATCCAAAAGTCTTAAGAAAAAAGAAAAATGGAGCACGTGTAGGATTTTGCATAAGAAGTTAGTAGAGGCCATTTTCAAGTCTTCAACAAGAGTCTAAATCTAAATCTTCGCTTTTATGAAATGTGTAATCCAACACTTGTAATAGATGCATAATGGTTGAAAACTATAGACTAACTTAAAAGTATTCCAAATCATTATAGCCAATTTTAGCCAACTGTATTGAAGTGGACCCATGAACTTGTTGAGGACCTCATCAGATGTTGATTTATAGATGTTCCTGGACTTTCGTATGAACTCAGACAAAGAGGCAATGTCTATGACAATTTCACATTAGGCAGTACAGTACAATAGAAGTCCATAATCAAGGGGCCTTTACAGGCCACGTTTCCGAGGTAAAGCCCTTAATAAAGGGGCCTTTACGGCCCATGTTTCCAAGGTCCAAGACGAATGCTTGAGCAGCCCCATATTCCTACATTCCAGTGTCATGAAGTCATCAAAATAAATTTTGATTAGGAAAAATATTTCATTGAGTTGAGAAATGGACCATCATCTTCAATGCTATTTTTTTATGTCAAAGTTATATTTTGAGAGGAGTTACAGTGTCAAAATATTATATTTTAATAATTATACTCCAATAGTGCATTTTATCCAAAATGTTATTTGGAGTGTATTATTTTCATCCACCTGCTATATTTTGAGAAACGGCACCGTATGAGAAAAAATAGACCTCTCAAAATTTTTTTAGAGCTGCTATATATGACAATACTTCTGACAATCTCAAAATATGAAAGACCTTTTAAAAGCTCATTGGAATGTATTATTTTCATCCACCTGTTATATTTTGACTTTGAGAAGCCCTTTGAGAGGGCATTGGAGATGCTAATATGATAAAAATTTCAGAAAAGTATGAGAAAGCATCATTTTATGATTTGGATTTACAACCTTTTTTGTTCCTACATTTCCCCTCCACCAATTATTTATTTACGATATGAGGTCTAAATAAATTTAGGGTTAATTACAACGACATCCCTTGATATTTATTATATTGATAGCCATACACAACTTAACATTTTTCTGAACAAAGACACTCCCTAAGTTTGCAAACTTGAACAATGACACCCCATTATAAAAAAACAGAGCCAAACACAGCCTTAAGTGACATGAAATGTCTAATATACCCTAAGATATATTTTAATCCTCACCTAAAATGACCAAACTACCCTTTCATCTCATCTCCCTCTCTCTGTCTTTTCTCTTTCAGTCCCTCTGAGTCATAGCGAAAGAGGAACGGTCGGCAACGCGATGCAGAGAACACGGACGGTGAAGAGCTCGATATAATTTTTGCTGTCAAACTCTTCAGAAACTCCATTTCTTTCTTGTGTAACTAGTGTAAAAAATTGGACTTATCAAATTGATAGTGATAAATCACTCATTCTATGCTAAACAGTGTCGAAGTTTAGATCTATCTGCAATCATTTTCGAACACTTCATCTAAGATAAGATGAATAACAAGGGAGCTTCTTGTTTTGTCTTCAAAATCATTTATTTGTTTATGTTTGTACTTTTCGTTCCATCCTCAGCAGAAGAAATATAACCCTCATATGTCCATAATCAAAACAAAGAATTTTGGGCTTACTTGGTAAATTGTTTGATAGCGTAGATGATTTTATTCTTAGGAAATCAAACTACAGTTAAGTAAATTGTTCTTTCAAAATTGAGTATTGCCTCTTAACTATTTTAATTACTACAAACCATTGGAAGAGACTTCTAAATCCATTGTTCGACGAGATGGCAGCGGCGGTGGACTCGGCTGTGGATGATGGCGAAGGCGGCTTGCGGCTGTGGAGAAGGCGAAGAAGAAGATCAATTTTGATAGAGGTGGATGAGAGCTTGGTTTTTATGGCAGCCGGCTCGGATGGTGAGGAGATGGGGACAGCAAACAGTTGGGTCGTGGGCGACGGGCTGGTTAGGCTCGAAACGGCGGTAGAACTGAATCGCCATGGATGACTTGCGGCTTCTACGGCTGTGGATGATGGTAGCTGGGTCGTTGTTCGCTGTAAGCTTGCGGATGATGGCAGCGAGCTCTCTCAAACCCTGTACTCTCTCTCTCAAACCTCTTTATGCTCCAAGCGAACAACGGCAAAAATGGAATACGCCGGAAAAGATGGAGTTCTCTCTACCCATCCACTATCATCTCCACACACTATGCACCACCCCTATTATCTTTTCTGCAAATTTTTTTTCACCCAAACCTTAGCTCCATCTATCTTTAAATTGACTCAATAATCTATATTACACTTACTGAAATATTGGGGCTTTGTTTCTAATAATCAAATAGACCATATGTGACTCAAGGAGGGTAATAGATTACAGCTGTGGATGGCTTGGATAAGGGCGACAGTGGGACAGTGATGAGCCCGGCTGTGGGCTGTGGCAACTTGATGGACGGCGGGGAAGAAGGGCTTACAGGGAATGAATGGGAAGATGAAAAATTTGGAAGAAGGGATTTTTTGAATGAGGGTAATTTGGTCGTTTTACGTGGTCAAATGGTAAACATGTACTTTCATCATGTTTGGGGTGTCATTGTTCAAGTTTGCAAACTTGAGGGGTGTCTTTGTCCAAAAAACGACTAAATTATATATGACTGTCAATATAGCAAACCTCAGGAGGTGTCATTGTAATTAACCCTATAATATTTAAACCTAATTATTAAATTCACGAAGCATGTCACCCACACACCACTATCTCACCACGACAACTGACCTAAACTAATTCAAACACCACAACTGATATCTACAAACACCTTAATTGACAACTAACGTAACTCACATAGACTCTTACTGTAACGACCCGAACCCGTGGGCCCGAACCATTAACCGGGTCTTTACCCGAACCCGAGGTCAACTTAGTCATAGCATCCATTTCCTGTGTCCATGACTGTCGGACGAGTCAATCCATAGTCCAAATGCTCTAAGACACAACCTTACAAAGAGGGTCAAATGCATAGGTCAAAAAGGAAGGATTAACTGACAGAGCATAATCGTTTAGCACATGGTCGGTCGGTCTGACATACAAGGTCGGTCGTTTTGACCTACATGGTTCGGTCATTTTGACCTCAGATGGTTCAGTCGGTTGAAGGAAAGGTTCGGCCCTCAGCCGTTCTGAAAGAGAGGTTCGGCCCTCAGCCGTCATGAAAGAAAGGTTCGGCCCTCAGCCATTATGAAAGAGAGGTTTGGCCCTCAGTTAAATGAAAGGTTCAGCCCTCGGCTAAAGGAAGAGTTTGGCCCTCAGCTGATGAAAGGGTTCAACCCTCGGCTGATGGAAAGGTTCAGCCTTTCTGAACCTGGGGTTTCGGTCGGTTGACAAATACTCGTCAATAAAACATGACATAAATAATTGAAAGGCATCAATAACTGATCAAAACATAACTCCATTACTCATTCATCATAAAATAATTACATAGTATCATTTTATACAATTGAAAAGAGAATAAAATACATGGATGAGGCCTCTATGGCCGAAATTTACATAGCATTAATACAATTTAAAAAAGAAAAAGAAAAAAATGGATCCCTAGCTACATCAATGTCCATGGATGCACATTATCTATCAGGTTGTTTCCTTATTTCTGAAAAATGTTAATGATAATAAGGTGAGCTCAACAGCTCAGTAGAAAAAGCCTAAAATACATTCCTAAAAATCCCGTGAGCCACAACCAAAGAAGAGGAGATCAGGAAAAGGGATCATTGGAATACCAGCCACAACATCATACATGAATTTCACAAATTCACAAACCATTTCATCACCAATCATGTAGATCAAGAGCAAATCATGCTTCACAACTCAGTATTGGATAAAATTAAACATGTTCACACCAACAAAATTTACATGTAGAGAATACATAAGAAACTCACTAAAACCATAGGAATTCATAGTTTAGACTTCCCCTATCTCAAGATAGCAACCCAAGCTCTAAGCTCCAAACTCACATCCCACCAAAAGCTTACAATACCGGTACCAAAACGTAGCCCTTGCAATGATCTATAATTTGCTAACTCCGGCTTAAACCAAATCTTCTTCTAGCATGAAGAAATTCTAGAGAGAAGGAAGAGAGTAAAATAGAGAGAGAAAAAGAATAGAGAGAGTTTGTCTGCCGAAGGAAAAGAAAAGAATGGGTCAAAATGAAGCCATCCTTTTTGGTCTCTAGAATATTCTATGTTGGTCCATGAAACTAAAATGATAAAGATGCCCCTTAAACTCTTTTACAACTTCAACAATGCCATAAAATATCACCCTCCATTAATACC